AGCGCCATGAGACCTGTGTCTGGCCGCAGCGTAACTCAAAGCCATTTCTTGAATCCCAGTTACATTACTATAGGGGATATATTGTGCTTCTAGCCATTAAATATTTAAATCCCGCAGCAGATAACCTTTCCCATACAAATTTTAAACCATAAAATCGTTAAATATAAACATCTAATTTTTATGATGTGACGTTAATAGTATTTAATTATATACATAGGTAATATAAGCAATTGGGCAGCATTGTGCTTAACGGGTGACTTACAACAGGCATTTGCTAAAACTCATCTGAAGTCAAAAATTTGTACGTAGGAACAAAAATTGAAATAAAATAATTCTTGTATTGTAAATTCATTAAAAACTTACTAATTTGTAATTGTGTGTTTTAATAAATATTATTGTTATATGTTGTTTCACTTCTAAAAAGATACCTACATAACCTCATTTTAAATAAAAAAATAAGGTGCAGAGTTAATTTATTAGTTCCAGGAAGAAACCAAAAAATGTTTAACACATTTCATACAATGAATGGCATACAAAAGTAATTTATTTTAATCTAATGATAAAATTTTAAAATTGGCACATCTAGATTTTCACCATAACTCATTTATTTAAGTTACACAATATTTTGATTAATTTATTTGCCTAGAATACATTAAAATGTTATATGTACATGTTTTAATTTTTTTCTAAGTGTACATCGCTAATTTGCAATTTTAGAGTTTACTTTTCTCCGTGTAGAAATAAGCGACAAAAACGTCAACTGTCATTGAAAATCTGACCACCCCGACATCAAAGAAGCCGACGCAATCTGTCGCTACTGTATTAGGCATTCCAACGACCTGTCAAACAATAGGTGCCAGTGGGAAATTTTTGTATATTTAAGGGGGTAGCGACATAGTCTTGCAACTTGGACGCTATTTTTATTCGAAGTAGTACTCGCCAAGCCTGCCAATTTATGAAGAAATGTATAGGTGGGTTTTTTAAATATTATTTTCATTGTGTTTGACATAAAATATTTAAATGTAATCCATTATTCATGATTTTACGTAAAGTAGATAGAATACACCATATGTCGCCACCCTTAGATATACCAAACCTGCCCACTGGTAATTCATTTGTTTGGAATGCCTAATTGTTCTTTATACTGGGGTTAAACCTCAGATAAATAAATAAATAATAGATACAGCCCTATCATGCAATATTTGTAACCAGCATCTCCTATCACTATATAGCAGTGGTTACACGACTTGATTGGATATTCGCTATTTTGGTTACACACCTGATTGGTTAGCAAAAAATTGACAGGACTACGTCAGTTAGGTTAGTTATTTTATGGTTATTTTGTGGTTCATTTTGAGTTTATTTCGTACTTTAATTGAAAAATTTTTGTGGTTTAAGTTATTTTAGTGCATTTAATTGCTTAAAAATGCCAGAGAATTGTATTGTGTGCTCGAGAAAGTATCTCAAGTTCAGTTCGATAACGTTTCATAGGTAAGTAAATAAAAACCATTATCGTTGCATCACACTTTTTTGAGGGGTATCATAATTCAAAATAAGGTTTAAACAACAATTTATTTTAAAGTTTAAAATAACATTCAACGTCGAATTTCGAATTATTTTATTGTGCCTGTGTTTAATAACTTTGAATTTATTAATAGGCTATCTTTAAATTAAAGTCATATTGTTATGCATACTGTACATTTAAGAAGGCTCTAGTGGCATTTACTTTAGTTTTAAAATCTTAGTATTGCTTTATTTTAATGTCAAAATATATTGTTAGAACACCATAGTTATTTTAAAGTATACTATGTTGCATTCTGTATTTACATGAAATCCTATATACCTACCATACCTATATGAATAAGAAAACACTATTTTATACCTATTTAGGTTTCCAAAAGATCCTCAAACTAGATATATGTGGATGAAGAGTTTGGGTATACGTGAGGATGAAGAGTGTATTCAGTAGAATTTGTTCAAGACATTTTGAGGATTCTGCCTTTGCTAAGTCTCCAGGAGGAAAAATGTTTTTAATGAAAGGAGTAATGCCCTTATTTTACTCACAGCCTGAAGATGTTCCTCAACTGGAAACTATGTCACATTCTAAACCTTCTACATCTGAAACTAAGTGAGTATTTGAACAAAAACTATAAATAATAAAAATGGTTTTTTGTCTTTGTTTAATTAATTTGAATATTTTAAGTATTAGTACGGTAACCAATAAATTTTGTAATTTTTTAATTACCTATTCATGTTATTTTAATAACACAATAATATATGTAATTATTATCATATGTTTTCTTATTGTCTAAATTAAAATAGGTTTCATTTATCTCAAGTGAATGTATATTATATTTACTTATTATATAGTTACACGTCACATAATTAATTTAATTTGTAAATTGTGTAATAGGAAAATGGTTGCCAGTATCGCATCATCCTGGAAATATCTAATTCGTATTCTTGGAGACTTGTCTCGATTCTGCTTACGATCCTTTAAGTCTTTCAAAGTCATCCGTTTTTTCTACAGGTACAGTCTGAAGAACATCTAAAGCATCCCCTTGAAAGGCGATGGTCACATTTACTTACTTTTCTCGTTCAAACGTCCAGGACGAGATTAAAAAATAATTGGGCAGTATAAGAACCGATAATTGGATCAATCTCTTAAGGCTAAGACACGCTAAGATACTTTTGGGTGAATATAACCAGGAAACCATGGCAGGAAACATCGGAAGCCTGTGTGAGATCTGTATACCCATTTATAAATGGTAATGTTAGTACCCGTGACGCCATCTATGTTTCAGCTTCATATAAGTGTTTCTCCTTATATCACAGTCATCTGTAGTCTGTAACCCAGTAGGATTATAGATCGTACGTAGATGCCGCCACGAGTACTAAATAAGAGTCAGATGCGCATTGTCTCGTATTACAAGTTCGTATTTCATCTTGAGTTTTGTCTAGTATTATAACCATTACTGAATTACTGTATTTATCAGAATACTAGAGAATAAAAGCTTACAACAAGGTGTTGTTTTATTGAGTAGTGTATAAATAAGGCATACATCACAGCCTGCATCTCCCTGAGCAAGAACAGGCTTCGTATTGTAACAGGGATCCTTACCGGGCATTATCGACTTAAAGGACACCTTAGTAAACTGAGAGTAGTATAGGATAGTGAGTGCTGATTCTGTGAGGAGGAGGATGAAACCTCCATTCACATTCTAACTGAATGTGTAGTACTCCAGACTCCAAGGGCACTATACCTAGTAGGAGGATATCAAATAGAAAAGAGAGAGAGATTTACCTAACACGAAGCCACTCCAAATCCTACACTTCCTTGGGAAGATAGGATTGGAAGGGTCGTTATAGGCATTGAGACATTTCCTTGGTGCATTAGCGACAGAAGGGACACAATAGATCTTTTAGATCGCAGTGTATTAACACCCCATTCCCAACAACATCTCAAGTGAATGTATATTATATTTACTTATTATCACGTCTCATAATTAATTTAATTTGTAAATTGTGTGGTAGGAAAATTGTTGGGTTTTATTTATCTGTAGTTAATGAATATTAGTTTTAGTTATCTAGATACCTGTCACATAATTATTTGATTTATAAATTATGTGAAAGGAAAATTGTTGGCAACTAAATTATTATTATTATAATCACCCCATTATCCATTATTAATTGTTATTAAACCAAATGAGTACAATAACACAACGTCTCTAAAAAATTGCTTAACGTTGTTCTATTTCTAACTGACAAGAATTCATCGAAATTAAGTTTTATTATTCAAAATAGGTATTGTGTATTAGAAAACCTTGGCAATATTTTAAAACGGTAATTATGAACTTATCATTTATTACATAAGTATCGCTTTATTCTAAACTGTTATTATAACATTTGTTTTGTTTTCCAGATCTAACCCAACTATTTAATAAAATGAATTACATACCTATTATAAAAATTGTTTTTTTAACCCTACTTTCCCAATTATTAAAAACCATAAATATTTTGTGCACAAAATTTAATTAGGTAACTTAAAAGGGACTAACAATAAACAGATACTTTATTCTATTTTTTATTATATATATATAAGCGGTACTCATAACAAATCAATAAAAATAATTTACAAAAGAATCGATATTATTAAAAAATATTAGCACAAAAATTTAGAATTTATAAAACCTATCATTGCAACGTTTATTCAAATTATTTGTGTATAAAAATAATGTATGTTTTTAATTTAAAAAATATATGTATTGGTCGACTGAAAAATTAATTTTTGACGGTTTTCTATAAACATCTCATATTAGAAACATTGATCCATTGAAATATCTCAAAACTAATAAAATAATATAAATCAAAAGCATTTCTATTGACATTTATTTGATACGCTACTGGATAATAAAACTAACAAACCCCGCTCTTCCCCTCCTAACAACTGGCTTGTATATGTTGCTTTCAAACAAACGCAATGTAAATTTTTGACATTCAGTTATCTATTATTATTTATTTATCTGAGGGTTAAACCGTCACTAATCAGACTAAACTAGGCGAGTTCGGTCAGTCAGGGGCTGGAGCGGGACAAACTTTAGGGTGCTTTTAAATGACATTTAAGCGTGTTAAACTGTCACTAATCGGACTAAACCTAACGGTAAAAGGGTCGTTTGGAGTTAAAAGTGTTAAAGGAGTTAAAAGAACTTGGCAGACCGAACGCAATGACTGAACGCTAAAAGGGTCGTTTGGAGTTAAAAGTGTTAAAGGAGTTAAAGGAACTTGGCAGACCGAACGCAATGTATGACGACTAGTTTGACAGCTTTGACAGTGACAACCTGACGGTGACAGTGACAGTTTTGGCGTAAGATATGACAGTTCACTAGTATTTCTAATTTTCTAACCAATTTTTAATCAATTTTATAAATATTTACGTAAAATTTATAATAATTAATTTAACTATAGTATTCGATTTCAAATATGTAATTAGGTAGTGTTCAATGGCGACTGCAGATCTTCCAGATCATGAAAATCATCACAATGTGATAGAAATAGATTACAATGAAATACAACAAATAAAAGTGAGTTTATAATATCAGTTTTCCAAAATATCGCATGGCAAATATGTAAAAGAATTATTCCTAATCAAACTTAAATTTAGATTGTAGGAGAAGGTAGTTTTGGTGTGGTATATAAAGGAAAATGGAAAAACACTTTTGTGGCTGTGAAAAATATTACTCGCGAGGAAGAAAAAAAGGCATTTCTCATCGAAGTACGACAATTATCAAGAGTTGACCATGACAATATAGTAAAATTATATGGAGCTTGTACCAAAGGACTGAATATTTGTCTTGTTATGGAATATGCTGAAGGAGGATCTTTATTTAATGTTCTGCATAGATCAAATTTATATTACACAATGGCCCATGCAATGTCATGGGCTTATCAATGCTCGAAGGTAAGTGGTATACAATATGTTATTGGCTGTAATAAAAATAAAACATTTTCAACTGTTAAGTAATCATGAAAGGATTTTCCCCTCAAGGCTTAAATATTCAAACAAAATGACTTATCAGTAAATTCTAATTTTGATTATCTATTCAATTTTATCATAAACAAAACAAAATGTTATCACTTAAATAGCTGGAGTACCTATAAAAATATAGGTACTTCCCATGTAAATAATTCAAATGATATGGGGTTTTTATTTTAGTTTTAATAAAACAAAACATATTTACTTATTCTATTTTGCATTTCTTTCAATATTTTATAATTTTCCTTTTTCTGAATTTGTCCCTGTCACGCAAGTTGACGTGTGTTGGATAGAGATTTAAAATATGAAAAATTATTTCTTCCGTTTACTTTTCCTTGCTAGTGAATATGTGGAAAGTGTCTTTCATTTAAAAAATAATCATAATAGGAAATAAAACCTTTCATATTTTAATTGCCTTTGCTCGTTCTACACTGTTCTCTATTAATATCTCCAATATTAAAACCTAACTAATAGCGTTTTCGATTCTATTGCTCTTGCACGGAACCAGTTGCACCTAAATGACGTCACAATTCGCTCTACGTTCATCCTGTTCGTTCTCAATGCAGTATAGAAATGAACACATTAAGTAACTCAACACGAAGTTAAAAAAAACTAGGGAATTACATATTGATTTTTGAGTTTTGAGTTGATTGTTATTTGTTTGTTCAGACTTGTTTTGGAGCTAGATGCTAAAGTATTTTGTTATGTTTAAGAGTTTAAGGGTGAATTTAATTATTAATAACATCAGATAAATTGGATGAGAATGGGATTTTAGTTCATTGGGATGATGGCAATTTTATCAATTAGGTACTTATCAGTAGTTAATGAACACTTTAAAAAACAATAGGGACAATCAACCAGCAGCTGAAACGGCATCTCAGGACCAGGACCTACACTGAGTCACTATATCACAAAACACCTCTTCAAAATATACTTGCTCTACCTTTTTTACAGAGCAATATTATTTTCACTGAGAGTGATATGCAAGTGATTTGCCCCTAAAATAGAATACAAAATTGGAAATGCACTGCTCTTGCTCTGACAGAATCGAACAAACAAACCTCATTTCGTATGCACCCAGTGCAAGTGATGCAGAGGAATCAAAAATGCTATAAGTACTTATGTATCTTTTATCATATTTCTTTAGTGACTGTCTGTCCATTCCGGTTTTTATTCATTTAAAAATGTATACTAATTTTTTTAGGGTGTACAATATTTACACGCTATGCAACCAAAGCCATTGATACACAGAGACTTGAAGCCTCCAAATCTGCTTTTAATAAATGGTGGAATCAACTTAAAAATATGTGATTTTGGTACTGCAGCTGACAAAAATACTTACATGACTAACAATAAGGGATCTGCAGCTTGGATGGCCCCTGAAGTAAGTATAGAATTTAAATGTAGAAGAAAATATTAACAGACTCTTTGCTAGTTATTTTGTATTTATATAGAAATATTTTTAAAGGTAATAATTCTTTTAACTAATAAATAATGGATGTTGTGTGTTAAATTATCAATAATTATATGAATAAATGCTAGTATGCTACTTGATTCGAATAAGTTTACTTTAACTTTTAAAAACATTTCATTGATACTAGGTAATAATGTATTTTTATTCATTAACAAGGACCTGGAATTAATAAAACTTTTTTTATAATAAAATCTAATTTATTTATCTTTATATCTAGGTATTTACTTCATCAAATTATACAGAAAAATGTGATGTCTTCAGTTGGGGTATAATACTCTGGGAAGTTCTTTCAAGAAAGAAACCTTTTTACAATCAATGCTCCAGCGCCTTCAGTATAATGTGGGCTGTACATAAAGGAAAAAGGCCTCCTCTCTTAAGAGATTGTCCACCACCTATTGAGAATTTGATGACTTCTTGTTGGGATCAGGATCCTAGGAACAGGCCCACTATGGACGAGGTAGTTTATATTATATGTATAAGTTGATTAATTAAACCACTTTTTTATAATAAACTACAAATCTACCGCCTTAATATACAGTGGCATTAGTGTAGGTTAGAATCATGTTGTTTCACAATTATATTCCAGTATTAACGTTATATCTATTACAGTCAGGGAAATTTTTTTTTTACAATTCCTGCACTACAAAGGATCCACTAATATGGCACCTTGCAGACAGGTCCAGGACCGGACTTTAATTGGATGGTACAATTCAGTTTCTGATTGTTTTTGTAAATAGGTTAATGTTTGAAGAAAATTTTCTGTAGTTGTTTGTATCCTCTTATTCTTATTATTTATTTATTTAGAACATGCATTACAAAAATTACATTTAGTAAGTAGTACACAAAGTTGAAACGAAAATAAAATTAAGAATTTAATAAAAATACAAACAAAAAATACATTATAAACACAATAAATGAAGCAAAAAGTCACTCGCAGCTGATTTTGAGAGTTCTTTAAAGAGCTGGTAAGCTTATATTGATTATGTTGTACTCAGGGTAAAACTTATTGTAGTTTAGGCAAATAAGATCAGTTGTCCATAGTTGGTTTGTTGTTCGATTTTGTTTAATTTGGAACAGAGAAATGAGTCATATTCCAAAATAATGTCACAGAACAGTAGTTTAAGATGAATGTTGGACATATTAGTCTGGTTTTATTTACTAAAATGATTAAAGCATGCAAGCCTTCTTACCACTTAAAAGGAGAAAAAGAAAACAGGAACAATACAATGTTCCTTTCCAAAATAACGTGTACCTATAGATATTAGGTTCCATTTAATAATAAAAAAACGTAATCAAAAGTCGCATCAGAACTATAATCTTCATTATACGTGTCATTCAGTTTTTTCAATACAATAATGAGCCAAAAATAATGGATAGTAATTTTCCATTTTTTTGACATAAAGAACCCAATTGGACCATAATTCTTGAAATATACCTCCAACAACTTCTCTGATGACATCTAAAACGTTTTCAGACAATGCAGGACTAATATTTTTCTTTCTGACCTCTCTTTCGATATTTTTTGAGCCCCTATGCTAAGATGCTAACCCGTTTGTACTGCAGCCTGTGGCTTATTGTGCCAACATATAAATATATATTACGGAAAGATCCATATGTATACATAAATTACATAAATAAGCTTAAATACATTTGAAGGTCCTACTATTGTCCCATTCACTCACTCATTCACCATCATTCATTCCACGTCGTCCCATAATAACACGGCTCATTATGGAATGTCCCAGCCGTCACGCATCCACGTCGTAACTTGAGAGATCACTGCTTAAATGTTGCGATAAAGTGGATGTGCACACTAATCTCTTTCTTCATAATATGAGTGTCCTACCAAGTCTCATCAAGCTAGACTACGAATCTATCTTGCAGAATAGCTTCATTTATTCTACTGAGGTAATTAATTCACTGCATAAAAAATTATTCTTTGAGATTCCATAATATTCTATCTTCTATTTAAGCTATTTTATAAAAAACCAAAAAAAATGGAGCCCTTTTCTAGTAGTACTATTGAACTTGTGTGGGAAACCTGGAACCAACTTGATTTCATTTTTAATCATGTCAAAAGACTGCGGCACAATGTTATTAGAATAAAAATTATACACCTTTATTCTAATATTCTGCATTAGTTATGGAACTTTTCATCAAATGTAATTTTGGGACTAGACCGACGGACATGTCTGGAAAAGTATGACTCACAATGAAAAGTAGGCGACCTTGGGCATAAAAGACACAGGGTTAAATTTCCATCCATGATGTTTTTTCAAAAAAACTTTCGGAACAATATTTGCATTTGTACAGTCTATTCATTTAGTTTACATTGATATTCAATTAAGAGGAATAAAGCTCAGACATAACCCAATTAAAAAAAAGCAGAAATAGAAAATATTATAGGTTAATTAGTTTAGGGCAATGTTGAATTCGAAAGTCAAACTTTTCAAAATTATTAAAATTGTTTTTAAATATTTCCTTGCTGAAAAATAATCATGGTGGACTTTTAATACTAGTGCTTCAGGCACACGAAAGAGCTGTAGGGAAGCACTTGGTATTAGTCAGTTAATACTTCAGAAGGTGCTCAAAAACCAGAACATAGCAAACAGAACTTAAAAAAACACTTCAATAGTAAAATTGAGGACTTTCCCGATGAAATCAAATTTAAAACTCGTGATACCATTTACTACATGAGGGCAACCAAAAAATATGTAACTTTAGATACAATTCACGAAGAAATTAAAAATAAAGAGTCTCTGGAAAACTTTAAAAGGTATTTGATTAAAATTTAAGAAAGAAGACAATCGTAAGGCATTATGTGAGAAATCAGCAGTAGCCCATAGGCACATTCAGTTCTTAAGGGATTTTCATAAGTTTAAAAGAAGTAATGCTTCGTTTGTATATTTAGATGAGACCTGGATTTTTACGAAGGGATCTACAAAAAGGATCTGGCGAAATACAAATATAAAACCAATAAAACATGACTGGGCAAGTGAGGAAAACATGCACATAATTGTCCATGCAAGTAACAAGGATGACTATTTCTGATGCAGAATTTTAATGTTTTCTTCAAAATCTAAGAAATTGATATGTGACTATCATGACAACATGAATACTGAAATATTTACTACCTAGGTGGTTAAAAAAACAGAAAAATAATTTCCGATTGGTTGGAAAGAGAACAGATTACAAAAATGAAATAACCCAATTATAATAATTAATTTTAATGACGTCAGCGAATGAAATACAAAATAGACTCTACCTTCGGCAAGGAAATAATAATACATTTTTTTTAATATTTCAACTTATTTTTTCTAAATAATTTTTCACTTTTACCAAAAAAGAGCATGCTAAATCTGTAGATTAACTGTTGACCTTGTATTATTTAAATTGATTTCGGGTTTAACTAATTTCAGCAACATGCTTCAACTTATTCAGTTCCGTATTCCTCAAAGGTGTACAAGAAACAACATTAAATTTATTTGTTATAATTTCAGGATGTATTTCGTTATTGTCTCAAATCAAGCTCCAATGTTCACTGTGAACTTTTTTTTGTAACTCAAAACCCAAATTTTTAACAAACATTTAATAATCAAATATCATCTATAAAATATATGACTGTTCTAGTTGACTGGCTGGCTCTCTTTTCTATATCCACTCGACAGAAGATAAATCGAATGTAAGGTTAAAATAATTTATTTTTATGTTCCATTTCTCTCTTTCCAATGACTCAAATGCAAAGCGATTTTCTTCTCTGTCTAATACCGCACGTCGGAAAGTATCTCTTGGAAACGACAGTCGTTTTCCACAGCAGCAGCCCTGGGTTAAAACTTATAAGTCAGTAATCATGTGTCGTTTCTACTTTTTTTAAACTAAATTTTGCTTTTGTTTGTAATAAAATCAGACAAATTAGTTAATCCAATTTCGCACATGTGTGCATGTCCACTTTTGAAGAGTGTGTTTGGACTAGTCAATTTTCAAGACCAAACCGTGGACCTTGTCTGTGGATTTTGCAAGCGACCCATTACTATTCTGCATTATGCAGTGATCCAGACTGACCAGAGACTTGTGATTCCATTTTTTTTTTCTTGAAAGACATATCTAGCTTATAATTTTTTTCCAATGGAGGGTTTGGAATTTTTTGTCAAAAGTGTATCCACCATAATTAGATCCATTGTTTTCTATTTTAGTTGGTGATACATATTTTTAATAACTTTTTGAGTGTAGGATGACATACACATACCAAATTTTTGGTGATCATCCTCCTCCAATTCTTCACTCTCAGAAGAAACTTGATCTGTAATGGGATCTGCATAGAAGTATGTATTTATATCATTACATACCTCCTGGGACTACATAATCTCCATTACTTTTAAAAGGCGTCCAAAAAGCCATTCTTTAAATATATAAATTATTAATGATAAATTCAAACATTAGTTTTAACAGAGGTTTCAACAGAATATATCAGTACATCGGAGATAAACTACACTATATCGACATAGGGCAGTTTTTAAACTCAGTTTATCGAGACCTTTCCAGAGATAAGCTACGCCATGTATTAGTGAGGTCAAATTCTTTAAAATTTCTATGAAGTGTTGGAAGTATAAGACACTATGTCATAGAACAAAAAAATATGTCACAAAAACCAACAATTTATGCAAATTAAAAAAAAAAATAAGTAGTTTTATTATTTAGATTAGTGAGGTTGAAAATGAGTGGGATGATCTCATCGCCTTCCGCTGCGACCCATATGGTTCTGTTGTGGTTCGTAGATTAGTAAACAATACATAAATATTGTGACAATAATTGGGTGTCCAACTGCATTTCTTGTCGAAATATGATATGTAATTATGGAGCAAAAAAAGTGTCTAAACAACATTCAATTTGGTCTACTGAAAAGTTGACTAGAATGACATAGTTCATTTTACCTTCGATTTACCGATATAATTCGAATATTATTCTCTAGATAGTTTGTGACTAAGTATTTCATAATTATTGTAACCCGAACTCTTTGAATTTTTAACAGATATACTCTTAAAAATTTTTAATTTAAATAACATGTTGTTTTGATATACAATATAGAGGTTATTTAATGTTTCAGATTGTTTGTAAAATGGAAATAATTTGTTCTCTACTTCCTGGTGCAAACAAACCAATCCAACCCTCTAACTATAATTGTGATGAAAGTGATGATATTCAAGAAGAAGATGAAGAAGAAGAGTACGACGATACGGAGGTCGAAGAAATTTTTAATAACACAATGAATACAAATGGTGATAACGCCGTCAGAACTCTACCTCAACCTACTAGAGATTTTTTGAATCCGCTGACTGTCGAGTGTGATCCTGTAAATATGTTTTTATTCTATTTAGTTAATAATATATGTAACATGGTCTATGAAAAGGAGGCTTACGTGCGAAATTAGACTGTGTAAAAACAAATAAATTTGCAGACAGTGAGGACGTGTAGTCGTTTCGTCTTCTATTAAAACCTATCGATCTTCAAATGTCAAAAATTATAGAATCAGTTGGTTTATCTTTGGAGCGTCAGTGGGATATTTATCAGAATATTCGCAGCTCAGTTTCGGATATAAGTAAAGCAGATATTGTGGCTCCATTACCAAAACAGAAGTTGGTATCGAAAAAACGTATGATTCCATTACTGAAAAAAGAGTTAGCATTAAAGAAACGAAATGCGAAGGTTAATGGAGATGTTTTCGAACCAGACGTGGAATAAACAACCAACATGTAAAAAAGTTTTAAGAAAGTCTATGACGAAGAAAAATACAAAAAAAAATTAGTAATTTTTTTCTGGTATATATTTTTTTATTTTACAAACCGATCCAAACATCTCGTGTAATGTCATAAGGACTGATCCAGAATAAATATTTAATTTTTCTCTCTCCTTATTCCAGATTTTAAAACAAATGATTTTTTTTTTGTTTCGTATTTGTACCTTCTTTCTCTTCATTTTTAGTAATATTTTTTCAACGATTTGTGACTTTCTGGTTTTCACTATTTGAAAGAGCGTCTCCATCCGAATCGGCAAAAAGGTGAAAAATTATTTTTTTACACCTAAACCCCCTTTTAATAGACCAGGTCACATATGCATTTTCTAAAATTTTTGGGTGAAAATGTCTTCTAACCTTAGACTAGGTAATAAAGAGAGGACTCATAATGCCGCTGAAAATCTTGTCCCATTCTGACACCAACGATATTCGACCAAAGGCGTAACATGTTGGAAATAAAAGATAGCACAGACACGTTTTAAAGACGTTGTTCACGACGTTCGCGAAGTTTTGAAGATGCTAATATCCAAAAAATGTTTTAAAGGCGTCTATAGGACGTACATTGTTACAAAACAACGCGTCTTTAGGACATCCAATTTTGTACGCCTTTAAGACATCCAGTTTTGTATGTATTTAAGACAAACCGTATAGGACGTGTTTAAACTATTTACATGCGCTGCAGGCAGGGCCAAGAACGGTGTCGGGGCGCCATATTCAAATATAGCGAAAATTTAAAACGTCCTAAAAAGTCACAACAAAGACGTTTTAAACCGTCCGTTTTGCGTACCAGGACGTTTGGACGAAAGTGAGACATGAACTGGACGTCTTTAAGATGCAGTGTGCTATTGGGTATTATTAAATTAAGCTAGTAGGAAAATTATACATACATGAAGATAAATTTATTACTAACCATTAAATAATACTAATTTGATATAATAACAAGAAGTTTTAGCGAAACAGCTCTTTTTTATATCTTTTAAGTTTTTGTTTAAGAACTTTGATTCGTCTTGTTTTTTCTTTATTTTTTCTACCTGTTGTAAAAATTGTCTTCTAAGTAAATTTCACATGCGCAGTAGTTAAAACTGAACTCCTGGTTCTAATTCTGCGTTTGTGATAAAATTGATTCCATTTTTCATTGGTCTGAATCGCTTATATTATATCTGGAACATCGTAATGTAACAGAGGTTCCGTTAGCGGTAAAAATTCACAATTGATATGAAAGTATAAATTAGTAATTCTGAATCAGTTCAGGATTCTTTCCACGAACAAAGCTAATAAATACAATCTTATAATACGCCATGTTTATTGAAACTAATTAATTGTTTTTGGTTTGCGTTTTGAAATTTTTATTACCAAATTTTTGTACAAGGACGCCGATATGAGTAATTTGCAAATTTCAGCGTTCATACAGACTTCAATGCGCCTGGGTGACATTCTAATCGAATTTTTTTATTAACACAACTTACACTGGTTATAGTACACATTTTACAAATCAATAATCTATACAATATCTAAATATATTTATGTACACATTAGAGATTCAACTATGTACATAGGAACCTCGAAAAATAACATGATGTGTCACAATCATCACTTCTTAAATAGTATAGATTGTTAACACATTTAAAATTGTAAAATAATGGATCTGTCATTAAATAGCGCTTATCAAAATAACGCTATTGTTTGAGTGCCCGATCAAATTAGCACTGAATGAAATAGTACCCTGATCAAAATAGCACTGAACGAAACAGCACCCAATCAAAATAGCGCGTATCAAAAGAGCGTCTGAACGAAATAGCGTGTATTAAAAGGGCGTCAGTCAAAACAGCGCCCTTCGAGCATATATTACTAGAACCATCGTCCAAATGGGCTTTGTTTTGGTACAGGGGGAAAAATAGTGTCCAGCATTCCCATTGGTCTGTTTCGTTTTGCTTGGCATGTCAAATCGTTCGAAATTGTCAGAACTGTCATTTGATTTTTGATTTTCATCGATTTATAGCTTATTTTTATAGTTTATGAGTGATTTTTTGTATTTTATTACTTTAGTGATACAAATTTAAACAATGGTAAGAGTTTGTGTAAGTTTTAAATAGAAATACGAAAAGGCATCGCCAAGGTCATTTTACAAGTAAGTAACCATTAACGTCTCTACCATTTTTTTAAAAGAAACATAAGTACCTACATTTTATGAAAAAGGCCGTTAAACATGAATTAAAAATAAATGGTAAATTTAGTGAATTAAATTTAAAGAATATTGTTTTAGATTTTGGACTCTCCTGAAAAGTTAAAAAAAAATTAATCATAATTTTTCAATATAAACAAGCTTTTCGTTTTTAAGTCATTTTATCATGATAATGTTAAAGATGTTAAATCAATAATTTTTGTTTTTTTGTAGGTTTCCAACTAATCCTGCCGAAAAACGCATTTAGTGAAACATATTGAAACTAGAAAACATTTAAAATAGTGATGTTTTATGTTCCAATCATTTTTCTGGATATATATTTATGTCAAAAACTGGATGCGGAGGAAGAACTAGATTAATTCCAGGTGCATTGCCATTAAGATTTACTAAGGCCCCAGAAGAAGATGAATGTAAAAGATAAAGAACCCTGCACTTTTCTTGTGGGTTAGTTGTTCAAAATTTTTAATTTTTCAGTGATGATCTGAACCATGAAGCCTCTGTTGCAGAAAAAGAAAAACATAAGTAACTAAGTACTTTTTAATACAACATAAATTTTATTTTCCAATACTTACCTATTACTACCTATATTTTTTATAAACCACAAAAATTGACAATTATTATTTTTTAATAAATATACCTATGTTTTTTAATTAACTAGACTGCTAATTGTTAAGGAATAAGCAAAGCCTAATGTGAGTTTTTCAATAAAAAAGTCATTTTAAGCTTCTCTTATTCGTACTCCTAGTCATTAAGAAATAATCGAAGCATAATACAGTTTTCCAATAAAAATTAAGCTTCACTTCACTTCATTTGTTAATGACTGGCAGTTCAAATGTACTTAAGTACCTAAGTATTAGCTTGAGTTCTATTTGTAGTATATTATTTAGTAATCTATTTTTAATTTTTAAATGTAAGCTCTTTTTCTTTTTTATTGCCTATTATTTCAACCTTCATTTTTCCGTTATACACTTTCTGATGTTTAAAAAAAAATCTGATATATCCAACACAAATAATATTAATAATTAATAATAGTTTACTATTACTAAATACCTATTTAAATAAGGCAAGTTTATAAAATATGTGCATAATTTAAAGTATTTTAAAGGTATGTATCAAATTTATTAATTATATTAATTACAAACCCCGTAAAACTGATGCGACACTGAAAATAGTGTCTACCTATTTCCCCGCATAACCCAAACAAACTCTGTTGAATGCGGACTCTATGAAATATATATGCTCGAAGACAGCGCCCGAAAGAAACAATGCCTTAATAAAATAGCGCTATTGTTTTTACCTAAATTAATTTAAAAAAAACTTATCTAACATACCTAAAAAATTATAACGAAATGAGAAAAGGAAAAAGTACTAATTTATGTAACATGTAGCCAGAAGATATAGCTGAAGAATTAAAGCACAGTGGATTTAAAATCTTGGATGTGCTTAATATCCAACGAAAAAAAAACTAAAGAAGAAAGAGGAAATCAAGTCATAAGAACTGCAAAAAGCCATTGCCGCTATTCATGTTAACATTTCAAAACAGTGAAGACATTAAAAGAATTTATGAAATTAAGACATTACAAAACCTAATAATCCAAATTGAGCCAGTGAGAAGCCCAAAATTGATACCCCAATGCAAACGGTGCCAAAGACATGAGAATACTAAACATTTTTGTAACAGGCAACCAGTGTGTGTTAAATGTGGCAAAAGCCACCTTACAGGAGAGTGTGATAAGCTGGCAAGTATACCACCAAAATGCGCAAATTGTAATCAAACACATAGAGTATGCGAAGTCGCAAAAGAGAAACAATACAGAAGAGGCTAGGTAAGCAAAACTAACCACAATAGAAATAGTACCCTAACCAGACGACCTATTAATAATAATAGCAAATTTGACATACTCAAATGTGGATAGTAATAACAGACCTAATCAAACTGAAAATGAATCTTTAACGAACCAAATAATGACTATGCATAATATAATTCTAGACAGAATTACCAGATTAGAGGAGGCTACCTAACCCTAAACGTCTAGACATCCTTAATGGAGCGTAAATAATTAATAATTATTGTAACATGGAATGCCAATGACCATCAAGACGAGCTACAGGTGTTCCTAATAGAAGAAAATATAGAATCTGTCTAATATTAGAAACACATTTAACAAAACTATATACAATTTAAAGGATATAAAGTCTATAGTATTTATGCATCGTCGGATAACGCTAGAGGTGGAAGCGCCGTAATAATAAAAGAAAATATTAACCATTATGACGAGAACAAAATAGGAACTGAAGAAATACAAGTAACAGCAGTTAACATAAAATCGAATAAATACAGTTTTGCAGTCGGAGCAGTATATATCCCACCATGACA